CCCAGGATGTGGAAAGGCAAAGTGGGAAGCAGCACTAGAAAGGGAAATTGGCTGTCAGGCCTTGTAGTGCCTGAATATTTTGCCAAGGAGTTTGAATTATATACTGTATGTAAAGGTGGCACGAGCATTTGAGTAAGGGAACAACATGATGAGGTTGTATTTGAAGAAGAGAATTCTGACAGAAAAAGTGGAAATAGAGAGAGACCATATAAAAGACAATTATACCATTATAATGGTGTAAGAAATGGTGACAACCAGAGCAGAAGAAAGTGGTGAAGCAAAGAGCCAGTGGAGTTCATTGGAAGAAAAATCAAAATGAGTAAAAGAAATATTGAAGGGAGAAGAAATAAAGAAGATTTACGTTTTCTATTTTGGGTGATCCAAAGGATAGCATTCCCTTAACTGAGAGGGGGAACACGGGAGCAAAAAATATACTTATAAGTAGCAAGATGATAAATTTAGCTTGTGTCACATTGAAATTGAGGTGGCAATAAGACATGTTGGGGAGATTCTGTTACTCTGTTGCTAATAAAAGTTTGGTGCTTGGCCAAAGAGATCAAAGCTACAGGTGTAGATTTAGAAGTCAGTTTAGCTGAGGTGGTTGAGCCAATGAATGAACTCAAGAAATATTAAGTAAGTAAAAAGAGAAGGAAATGTAGAACAAAATTTGTAAAATTTCAATAGTTAATAAGTTGGCAGAAAGGAAAAGTTAGCAACTGAGGAAACAATGAATAAGAGAAGAACTCTAGAAAACACTTATTTACAAGCAAAAGATACTGGTTTTCTTCCTAGTGTTTCAAATAATATTCGTTAAGCTTGCTTGACCTTCATCTGTTCTCACCCGGAATATATATCCTGCAGGGATGAGTTTTAAAAGATAGTGAATGTGAAAAGGCTTTGTAAACCAACAGACAGGCATGTCTTAGGTCTTACAATTAGTGTCACAGAAGTGAGGAAAGTAGAGACTTCCAACAAGAGAGAAAGTTGTGTCCGATGCTAGAGTTTCATAAAAATATTTATTTTTAGCTCAACTCGTTTGGTTTGCAACTTAAGGAAGTTAAGTCAAGAGTGAATCTGTTCTCTAATCACTTAGAACAGTATTTCCCAAAGTATGGAGCATGTGTCTCTGGTTGTACAGGAGACAACGTTGGATTTGACACAGACATCGAGCAGAACTGAATTACATAGTGAGAAAGTTATTATTATTATTTTTTGTCTTTTAATCCTTCAGGTTTATGTTAAGGGAAAACATCTCAGTTGGGGCAAATAAGTCTGTAATATCTAATGCAGGCTAGTCTCCCCTTTCAATAAACTCCTTCAGGTTGTCAACATTATTTAGCTAGAATATCATATTAACTTTAAAATTACCTTCCATAATACCTTCTTATTTGGGCCGGGATACCAGTTTTCCAGATGAGGTAGTGATACAGAGTTTCCTTTTAAAAGAAGCTATTTTAAACAAAAAAGTAATTGACTTTTAAAATATTAAGTACTTAATTGTATAGGTGGTATACAGAAATGGCAAAACTGAGAGAGTGGTATTCCAATGATGGGAGTTTGGAAACTTTAGGTTTATCAGAGCCCTTCCTCCTTCTGTTGCTTGGAGTGGCTGCCTTAGTTCAACCATGTTAGAACAATGTGGGAAATTATCCATCCTGGGATGGTGGTGGGGTGGTGGTGGTTGTCTTGGGCTCTAGACTTCCAGATCTATACCCTGTTCTTCCCCTAAGATGTTGGGTCAATTTTTGAAGCCAGTAGATTTTTCTAGACATTTGTGTCTTTAGCTGTTAAAATGAGAATGCTAGTTTTAAATGATTACTAGCATTTCTTCCAGCAATAAAGTCTATGATTCTTTGAGTGATTAGTAAATAAGCCTATGCTTTCAAATTGATGGAGGTTAGAAAAAATGTTTTTCCCCTGTAAACCATCAATATCATGTGTCAATGCCAGAGGCTGTTTGCAGACTAACATCCACGGCAAGGAAAACATCAACAAATTCATTCTTCAATGATAATTCATATTCTACCTCATTTGTGAAGGATAGTTATTTCAGGAAGGAATCTCTGCTTTAGTTAGGGCAATTGATTAAAGTTGAAAGTGAAATCGTAAATGAAAGTCTGTGTCAATTTCCTGAGCCTACTGCTTAATGCCAACACCTCACTCTTAAGTCAGTAGTTTCACTGCAGTCCTATGTAATCAATTCAGAAAGCCCATGAACTTGGTTCCTTGGCGTAGCAGCTCATAAGTTATAAGTCCTTATACTTAAAAAAGATGTTTCTATTCATCTATTTATTAATATCTTTCCATCTTTTAAAATTTATTTCCCCTGAAAGGGAAGGCAGATGAAGTGTTTTCTAACTGGCTGAAAGTTCTAAGTATTCTTGTGAATTAGTGTAACTCTACATCCCAAGTAACTCTTAAAAATGGAAGCATACCACCTGTTTGGAATATAGCAATATGGCGACTTCCATAATCAAAAACATAGCCAAGGACCAGGCAGCAAGTGAAAAATGAATATAGCATGGGGATAGAAAAAAACACCCACACAGTCTTGGAATCTGAAAAAAATGAGTTTGTTACTTCCTTTAACAATGAATCATAGAGAAAAAAAATTTGTCTCTAGGTAGGAAGTGTTTGTTGCTGCCATCTTTTGCACTGCATCAGTGTCAGGTTTTGCTCTAACTTGGCTAACAAGGGTTATCTTTGGGCAAGCAACTTAGTCATTTTAGGATTGTGTTTGCACATCTGAAAAAAAAGGGATAATGATAACAATAATTTGGTCATTATTCTGACCAAATTAGTGTCTGCATGTAAGTTCCTCAGCAGCGTAGTAGATACCTCCTAGATACCCACCAAGTGTTGATTCCCAGCATTGCAGAAACGCTATTGACTAGTTGAGATTCAATATGCACTTGATTTTGAAAGTTCATCTTTTACTGCCCTTCAGAGGCTCTTTCCTTCTTCTATGCTCTATACATTAGTAAACTTGATTTCCTGATTTTGATGCTTACAGATTAGAAGACCAGATTAGAAGGTGTAAAGGACACGAGGAGAAAAAAGACAAGAAACTGAACAAAATAGAAATAATTTAAAAATCACAGCTATCCAGGGCCATTTAGTGAGGGGAAAACAGTCCCTCATGCCTCAGTAGTCACTCAGTAGGCTTTTCTATTTTACAGCAAGATATGATATGAAGTATTCCAAATGATGATCTTGATTTACCAAGATTAAATTCAAGTGTATATACTCTGCTGATTTTAGAAAAAATACAATGACTTTGAAAGAAATTAAATATAAAAAGGACAAAATTTTAAGTAAATAATTTTTTGTATGTTTTTCCGATTGAAACTTTAGTCATTCAAAACTCTTAGCCATAGATATGAACTAGGTCTCTAGGCGTTCCACAGAAGCATGATCTTAACTGAAATATCTTCTCTGTGTCTTCAGCAAATAAACCAGGGCTTCACACATTCTGTGGAAAAGGATAGGCATTTCTTTTTCTTTTCTTTTTTTTTTTTAAGTTTATTTATTTTGAGAGAGAGAGCATGAGTGGGAGAGGGGCAGAGAGAGAGAGAGAGAGAAAGAACCCCAAGCAGGCTCCATGCTGTTAGCACAGAGCCGTATGTGGGCTCGATATCACAAACTGCAAGGTCGTGACCTGAGCAGAGATCAAGAGTCTGATGCTTATCTGACTGAGCCACCCAGGTGCCCTGGAGTAGACATTTCTAAATACTAAGTTAAAATGATTTTTATGCAGATGGCCTTTGTTTGTGTTTCAAGAATGAGCATTTGACAGAAATTACTTGTGGACTTTCACAGTAGCAACTTTCTCAGATTCTTTTCCCTAGGACTTGGTGTTAGGACAGTTTACCCGGGTGGGACCCAGGGGCTGACACCTTGATTCTTATAGTGTCACATGTGGTTCTTTCATAGTGTTACCTGTAATTCTCTGGGGAAAAAAATTTGAATTTGGTCTGGTTTGCACATTAAAACAAAAGCATTTTCTAAGTTATCCCCATAACATAAGTTAGTACAAACTCCAGCGATAATCCATTATATACTGACTCAGTACCAAAAATATTGAATCAAATGAACCTGATATGAATCAAGAAGTGGGCAGATGCAGATACCACAGAGAGCGAACATGTAGAATCCAGCACCATCAGAGGTCAACCAGTCAAATACCAGAGCTGGATTTTTCAAAGAACCAGATAATGCCAGTTTTATGGCCATTAATAACATTTCAGTTATATAAGCAAAGATAAGAGTAATAAAAAAATAAATTCTGCTTCTCAGTGTAATCTGATTGCCAGCAGGGTTCAGAAATGAACTTTCTCATTGTGCACGTGGCATTGCATAATGGACCAGTGATCATTCTCCAGCCCCCTCCCCAAACTTCCATTTCCCTTTTATGGACAGTCCTTAGTTCTGCCAGATCTCTAAGCTATTCCAGGGAGGCAGATTCTTTGGTTTCCCCTTAAAAGCTCTTTGATTGTGCCTCTGGTAGTTAATGCACCAAATGGTCTTTAGGGGTATTTCATACGTGTGCTCTGCAGCTAATCAGAGTGCCTTGGCCCACTGATTTCCTACTTCTGTGTTTTCCACATGTTTAAGGGCTTAGTTCAAACACCAGGCCCACCCACTTCTGGAGAGGCATGGTAGAGCTCAGCTCTGATTTGGGTCTCTGCCTCAAACAGAGATTTTCCAAAGGATATCCTGTAGTGGATGAATCATTCCATTAGGCCATGTTCACTTTTCAAACCAGGAAGCAGAGTGCCCGTTCTGTAGGGAAACTCAGATAAAGTTGTTGTGGCTGTGCTCAGAGTGCTTATAAATATTGTTGTCAGTGTCTTTGATACAGGTTCCATCAAGATAGTATGTAAACACTGACAGGTTAATTATGTGTTTTAAAGCTTTGTTTATTGAGAGCTGATAGGAAGGCTGTGAAATGAGTCCTTTACATATTGCAGTGACAGTTTTCTCCCCCATGTCTTCCCTAGCTGATTACTCCTCATGCCATCCGTGTGCAGACCCCTCCTCGGCACATCCCTGGTGTTGTAGAAGTCACATTGTCCTACAAATCGAAACAGTTCTGCAAAGGAACACCAGGAAGATTCATTTACACAGGTAAGAGCCACTGCAGATGGTGGACACAGCTTTTCCTTGGCCTTGTGAGTGTTTTACTTTATCTTATATGTATACGTGTGCATTTTATTTTAAAATCTAGTTTCCAAGACCCTCTTTCTTTGTCCATTTCACCATATAGATGATTACATGTCTTGCTGTTATTATTATTATTGTTGTTATCATCCTTATTTAAGATTTCATCTGGGTGTTCATGTTGAACGACAGGATCAGTGGAAATAAGTGGTTGGATACCTGAAGAAGAAGCATGAGAAATAAGAAAGGGGGAAGAAGTTCTAGACAATTCTCCGTCTATCTGGATGTTAAGCCATCTGTGTTGTGGTTTATTTGCTTTATGGAGTTATGGATGTGCTTTAGTGCAGTACAACTTTCTTCTAGCCTGGTCATCGCATTTGTATTAAAGAGAATTGGTAGTTTTCATATTCCATTCTGAGTTGGCACTTTCTTCTCCTGTAAACTGCATTTTGCCCTCCCCAAACAGTCTTTGCACATGGACCTGCCTTGTGGTAAGAAGCTAAGGTTGCAGAGTGAATGTGAATTGATCACCCAACAGATGGAGAGAAACAGGCAGGTTCCCTGGGGAAATGCAAGTATGCAGCCTAAGGGTCCAGTGTGTACTTTAGGAGAGCCTCAGATTACAATGTGCTAGCCAAACACCCACGGATCTTTCTATAATTCAGATGCTGGTTCAGTAGCTCTGGGTGGGACCTGAGACCCTGCATTTATTACAAGCTCCCAAGTGAGGCTGGTGATCTTGGTCCAGGGACCACACTGGGAGAAGTGACATTCTAGGCCCTCTGCTTTGTATTGTCACTTCTGCATAACTGTGTCCAGGAACTTGTCCCACCTTTTCATCTTCATTCAATGGACGACCACAAGGCCTGATTAAGTATAGAGCGTAAGTTGCTCTCACACAAAGAGGCTCCAGGACAGTGAAGAGATAACTCTCTTAGCACATCCTAATTATAACCATACAATTAAATGGACAAATTTTATTTTGCTGTAACATTTTACCTCAAAGCATCTTTCCTTTTGTATTTTAGTACTAGGGATAAAACCAGCTATGCTTCTTAGTCTCTCTCTCTTTCCTTCTCTCTCAAAATTATAAAAACAATTAATGCATCCTGACCCTTGGAAATGCCTCCCAGCCCTTTAAACAAAATGCAGGTTTGGTGCCTGCCTGACGATTAGTTTTAGTTAATTGAAAATTATAGGATTGACCCAAGAGGAAAATTTTGTTTGCACTCCAATCACTTTTACAAATTAAGGAAAATTACCACAATTTTGTTTAGCTAAGGTTTCACACTGAGTTCAAGAAATTAGCTCAGCCATCCCAACAAAGTCAGCACTTTGTTAGTGAGCACTTGAAAAAATAATAGTCTATCTGGAGTTTTGTGGTGTATACAAACGAAGCATAGAGAAAGCTATGATGCTTTATAGAAGTAGGCCAAGTGTTTTTAATTAGGCTCATTGGTTCAGTGTAAGTTTTGAAGAACAATCAAACTAGCAGATTAGCTGTTTCTTTTAAAGCTAGGATTTCTTGCCATTCATTTTTCCCATGAGAACTTCCACATAGCACTATTTTTTTTTTACAAGCCTCATTATGGGCCTGCAGGAAAAGGACCAATTGAAACTTCTGATACTGTAACATTCCCCACCATCATTCCGATGGATGGGAGTTTTTCACAATGTTCCTCACTGAACTCGGTGTTCTGGAACATATTACAAAACCACAGAGGCCAAATGTTTTCTCTGAGGAGTTGGGACTCTGTTTTTGGCCAAAAACATTTAGGCCTTGCTGGCTGCTTATTTACTCTGCTATTAAGAACAAGAAAAAGGAGAAGAAAAAGAAGAAGAAGAAAATGCTTGTGTGGTAGGAGGTACAAGAGGCAATCAGGCATGATTCCGCTTTGGTGACAACATCCCTGCCCATTAATGGTTCCATTTTGTGGTCAGGTCTCATTTAGAAGAAATTATTTTTAATCAGTGTTCAACAAAATATCCCCTTGAGCCACCTGGCCATAAAAGTTAGAAAAAAAAAAATCATCCTCACTAAATTACTTAAGTTCTCAAAAGAAAATAGCTAGGGACCCATTATGATTTGGATTTTTTTTAACCATTAAAAAAAATTGCCATCAATTTAAGAAATCACATCTTGGAAAACCTGTATCATACGGGAATTAAGATCAAAGATAAAAGCGGCAGATTTGCAAGTCTAGCAAAGTAGTTAAGGATAAGAGAGATAAATCCTTGGTGTGCATGCACGTGTGCAAGTGTGCAGGAAATTTAACATATAAAAAAATACTTTTGCTGATTTTGCCTCAAACTGTGGGAAATAGAAAAGCGACTTAGTCTTTTAAGTATTCTAGGAGAGAATTTAACTTCTCTCCATGTCGGAAAATAAAATTTTGAAGAAATTAACACAAAAACTTCCCCACTGATAGAGTTGGCTATTAGCTTGCTGTGACATTACATCTTTTCTAACAGAAGAGGATCTTTTTTAATTGGTGAACTAAACATGGCTTCTTGATTAGCATTAAATGCTGCTACCTAGGGTCACTTGTTCATGGCTGGTGCTGCTGGCCCCTGTGATTTACTCAGTTTACCTCTATCCTTGTTACCACTTACCAACCAAGGCAGAGATGGGTCATAAAACCTTTCTGTTCTTTGTATCAGAACAACCACTCAGGTCAGTGTAAATGTGCAGCAGTCCTTTTCTATCTGCCTGCAGAAGCTCCCACTTCATTTTCTTTAACTTCCATAGCATTTCAAGGTGTGAAACTTGATTTTTTGGACGGGGTAAGCCAACCCTACTGTTTCTTAGCGGAATGGCACTTGAAATTTTTCCCTTAAAAAGGGGGGGGATGGGGATATCCTAGGACTGAACCTCACAACCCACACTTAAGAATTTGTTGCAGTTTTCTGAGTGTGTGAGGGAGTTTGGGTGTGTATATGTCGAAGTCTCTAAGAATCCATAATTGAGCCAGGAACAGCATGGCCTAATCTATGCAAATAAAGGCAGACTTTTGGGGGAGGAGGAAAGGATTTGTCTAAACACAGATTGCCTGCAAGCTGGCTCCACTTATAAGGAGTGTGAACGCTGCTCTCCATCATTGGTTCTTCAGATCAGGGACGCAGGAGGCATTCTTAGTCACCAGATGTGCAGGTCTCTGTGTTTGCCCAGTGAGGGAGCAAAGCGAATCCCAAGTTGAGCAGAACAAATAGTACTTCCCAGATCTTATTTATCATGTCCAGTTATTCTTATGTAAGTTCAGGGCAGAGATGACTTTAAATTTTAAATAATGTTTCCTGATAGAAGGAATAGCATTTCCTTCTAATGACAGGACTGTTTTCAAAGCCCTCTAATAGTGTGTGGTCAGTCAGACCTATAGGAAGTAAATCCACGATAAACCTCCACTTCTGTGGAAAGAGGTCTCTCCAGTACCTTTGTTGTTCTTGCAGCTTGTTTTCCTGCTGTTGTTACATCTTTTAAGAGCCTTGGATCTTTTAGAATTGTAATCTCTCCTGCTAAGCTTTAAGTAACCTTGGGAGTTGATAAAGAACTCTAAGGAGGCTTCAGAAGCTTCTTCAAAGTTCTAGAGTTGGTTTTCTTGATAAGAAGTGGCCAAATCCAAAGGCAGTTTTACATCATTGCAGTTCTTTCTCCACGGGAAAGGCTCCTATCTTTGGGGAAACAATGACTAGAAGAATAAGCCATCAGGATGTGTCTGATTAGCTCAGGTGTGCATGGAGAGCTGTTGACTGCCAGCTCTGCCAGATGGTGAAAGCCCCAGCGGAATGATCATGTCCCAGCTCAGATTTGGGTTAGGCCACTTCTCAGATCATTCTGCCACCAGGTTCTGCCAGTCTAAGGATTATTCACCAAACTTCCTGCCCCTGTAGAAGGACTAACCCACATCCCTGTGTATCAGTCTCAGAATTAACTTCGAAATAAAAATTCTTCCTGGAAATACTTCCTGTTTGTACCTCCTGCCCAAAACAGCTTTGCATGTAGGAGGGCCCATTTTGGCTAAATAAGCTCTGTGGAACTTGATGATATGTGCCATGTCTTCCAAGTTTTCCATTTTTTCTCCCTATTCCTTTTGTTTTCTTCTCCTTCCCTTTCTCTTCCTCCGTCCCTTCTCCCCCTGTTCTTTCCTCCTCCCATTCTTTTCTCTCTTACTCCCAAGGAGACAATATGGCCTAGTGATTGAGGGCTTGGTTTCAAGAGGTGGTGGGTTTGGATCGAATGCTCAGCTCTACCACTTACTATGGAGGTTATTTTGGGGACATCATGTGATGGTTTTGAACCACAGTTGCCTCATTTTTACAAGGGAATAATCCCTTACTGGGGTTCATTTTAGTATCAGGGAAATGTATGTAAAGCACCTTTCGTGAGCTAGTATGAACACCTAGCCAGATACTAGTAGTTTCCATTAATAAATGATAGCCATTACTATTGTTCATTAATCTTTTCTTTTGTTGCGGAGTCCCTACCATGGTATAGATATTTTACGTATATTTTTAATCTTCACCATCATTTCCTAGAGGGCTAAGAAATGTCCTTTAGGGATTTTAGTAACAAAACTGTAGACATCCATAAATAAAAGAAACAAGTAGCACTAACCAACCACAAATAAAAAGAGCAAAGTATGAATAAAGTAGCAAGAAAAAGAGATTTATAAATATGAATATAACAATTTTGATACAACAAATACTTTCTCGGGAATAGCCTCAAACAATAAATATTTTTATAAGGCAGCCCTGACTTATAACGTTCTCTGATGCTGAATTTTCAGGAAAAACACATACCTGTCTTTTTGCTTCCATTCAAATTTCAGCCCTTCCTCTGGAGGCCATAGTAACATGGGTACAGTCTATCACCAGCCCTTTCAAAGGTGTTTAGGCTATAATTGCTTCAACTCCAGGTTCAAAAGGTTCAAGGCCAGAAGACTCTGTTTCTAGTTCTTGAAACGCTCCTC